CAATCATGTAAATATGGTATTCGCTGTTAGAAAAAAAGTTTAGGGTACTTGTACAATCAAACTTGACAATAATGGTTAACAATGTTGGCGTTGTCAAAATTCAGGCTATTAATTTAAAAAACAAATTTTGAAATGTATGAATGTGATGTTATCAAGTATGAATTGTCAAATTAGATTGTACACGTAACATGACTCTATTTCTATCTGGACAACCCACCATTGTAAAACTTGAATTGGTCAGTGTCAATACATCTTCCTCAATCTCTAGAACAGTGTGCATTTGTGTAACATCAGTAAGAATGGACCACATTCAATAATTTTCCATTTTGACTATTTCCATAATTCAATAGAGCATAACTAAGTAGCTGACTTTGGGACCTTTTGATATTATGAACTTAAGACACCCGTCTCATTATTTAGCCATTACTGCCACTGCCAGCTCTGACCCAAGATCACCACAGCTCTCCTCAAGCAACCGAAGAGCTCGGGAGGGAGCACGGAAAATGAAAATGTGGCTCAGCTTGCTCTCGCTCACTCTAGGATTTAGGACAATAGTTTACCTGAACTGCTGAGGATAACACTCATAGCCTATAGCTTACTCGAGCTAAGTGTAGACAAAATAATAGGGTGCATAGAAAGTTCCAAGCTTTCGAAGGAGATGAATCACTTATTGAACAAATTTTTTGCTATCTGTACAGATAGCCATAGAGATGCACACGTGGCATGCATTTGTAGGTGGATCAATGTGGCTCAGCTTGCTCTCGCTCACTCTAGGATTTAGGACAATAGTTTACCTGAACTGCTGAGGATAACACTCATAGCCTATCTGTACATAGAAAGTTCCAAGCTTTCGAAGGAGATGAATCACTTATTGAACAAATTTTTTGCCATCTGTACAGATAGCCATAGAGATGCACACGTGGCATGCATTTGTAGGTGGATTTGAAAATTTGTTTTCCAAATTCATCGACAGACGCACTCCTGCTGCTTATACATGTAGCATAACTCATTGAATGGGAAAGCAAACTCCCACCTTGCAGTGAGTTAGAAGAAAAAGAACGAAGCATAGGACCAAAAGGAAGCGATCCTATTCCTTGGTAGGTTGGGCTTGTAATGATTAAGCCTCATAAGTAGTAAAGGCACCAATGGATATTCGGCCAAGCAATATTGCTACTAGTTATTTGACAAGGTACATAAGACAACGGTAAATAACTAAATCTTTGTAGTCCATACGCTAGTACATACAGCCTCCACTCCCCGTCCCTACTCGCTTACAATTATATATTTCAAGAATTGTCTCATTCAAATAATTTTTCTCAAAAGGTAATGTGATTAGCTGTTTTATTGACCATAAAGAGTCATAATTAAGTGTCTAACAATCTTCCCAAGTGTCCAAAATGTTGGCATCATTGCTTTCGTAAATTTTGTTTCGTCAACTAATTAATTAATGTCAACGCAAATAAATTATCTTTATTGCCGTTATTGATTTGGTTGTTCTTTCATAGTCAAAATCTCTTATGAACTCATCTTTGTCATCAATCTGACAACTCAATTCATTTCACTTCGAGTTGAGGAAAACAAAAGAAAATGATGACTCTATTTGTTGAACATCTTGCTTAGACCTATAGAGACAATGGTTCAAAATCTCAATAGAAATGTAAACTTTAGGTAATGCTCAGACATCCCCATGTACTATTGTTATCATCTATTTGCAATTCACAAGGTTGGGGAGTATGCTAACTATCTGGCATACATTAGTTTTCTGTAACAATGAAGCAAATAACAGAAAAGATTAACGTAGTCGAATCGACTGTGAACTTTTGAGTACTTCTCCTAGCTAATAAGTAATAATAAAATGAAAATTAATTGGAAGATGGGCATTTGTATTTCAGCTTCAATCAAACCAATCAAAAATCATAATGAGTTGACTCTACATAATATCACCATTAAACAATGCTTTGTCAGAATTTATCAATTGTCAACTTCATACCATTTTATTAGTACTTCAATAAGTTATACATAATTTTAATAAGAGCTGGCAATAAGATAGATCGAGGACTTTGTTCAATAAGTCAAAATCATCCACCCTAAGTTTCTTGACAAAAGGGCAGGTTAAATGCAGGCATCCAAATTAATGCTCCCTTAAGTCGGTAAGAAGGCTACAAACATGAAACTAATTCTATAAAATTTAGAATATTACACGCCCACATTTACGTATCTGGTGTATGTATAAACACTAGATAATGAGAAATGAGACCGTGCAAAGTTTTCAGAACAACCAATTGCCAGCTCTTTTTCATTGTTCAGCCTGCAAAGTGCTAAACTCTTCCTGCTTAGCCCCATGGGGATAGGTAAGGAAATGCTAGCCTTAGTAATCGTAGATCTATGCACCGATTATACAAGTCAAAATCTGTTGGGTTGTCTTTTGTCAAGTCCCGACCAACCCCGACCCACTACAAGCTGCGATGTGGACGAGCTGTACAGTTCATCAGCCCATGGGTAGGGGACCTCGATTCTGCAAGGGCCTGTATTTAGAAAGTAGGAAGAAAAATGGAAAGTTTATAGGCCAGGTGCCATACCCCTAAAAATATTGAATACCTTAGACATTGCATGTTCTGCGCTAAATGGAATGTTGTCCACCCAATAATTTATTGACACATCACTTTAAATTAACATGTCTAACTTTTCTCTCATTGCCACTTATGCTTAAAAATAGGTGTAAAATGATGTAGCAATGAATTATTGAATGAAGAGCAAGTTGAACAACCAATTTTGGACAGCAAATCTCAACTCGGAATGGAATTGAACGGAATACTACAATTAACAAATTTTTTTACATGTCTCTCTTCGTCATGTCACTTCAGAGTAAATCGTGTTTTGTAAGTTATCTCACAGTGCTCATATGAGTGCGTGAAATAAATACCAGTTACATCAGGCTGATTGTAACATGTAGTTAATTTATTCACGAACTTGAGTATGCAATATTTTAAGGCTCAAGTTCTGTCCCATATACCTGGTCCTTCTGTTAGAGACTGTTCTTTGATACACAAACTGCAAACAATATTATGCAAATTATTATCCGCATTAAGCATGTTAGCCTACATGATTTCAGACAAAGAAATGAGTCCTTAAGTAGGTAACTCAACTAGCCCATAAGCAGTGACATTTTTATTCAATGGTTAAAACCCAAGACAACTTGCAACTGGGCCACACAAGGTTTTAGTTTTCTAGCTAAAAGATGCCACCAGTACTTGCACACAGAAGCACAGGATGATGAGAAGTCCAAAGCCTTCTATATGTGCATTGCTACCTGGACTTAAAGAATTTACTGTTTTAATTACTGCTCTATGCTATATATTTTTTTAAACAGCTACGGTATATAGCATAAAATTACAACCTAATAAATTTTCATTGCTTCCAACTTACAGGATTCAATAAAATGTAGACTAATCAAATGCTTTCACTTAGATACTGACATTAAAAGTTTTAAATTCTGCACATGACCGACCTTTCGCAACATCCACATCAAGCAGTGGAGTTCGTTCTTCTTTGCTTCGGACAGATTTTGTGCAGTTGCTCCAACATTACTCCTGTGATTTTGTGCTTCATGGGAAATTATATGCTTACATACAGAATTGAGATGGTAGAAAGTTTGGCAACACATTAATTATAACCATTTTTCACTTCAACAATAATAATATTTAGAGATTTTTAAATGAATTCAATATGAAGCTCAAGTCTGGAGCATTCACAAGTATAATTGAGACAATGTTACTTCAGTTTACGGGATATATCTATTCTAGCTTCTAGTCAATTTTGGCTCTAATAATGAAACTAATCTGCCAACCATAAATTGCAAAAGTGCTAAAGAAAATGAGGACTACTACTTCTCAGAAAGTAGAGGGTCCAGACTATGTTCTTCTACAAGTTCCTCTACAGTGTCAAGAACAGTTACAGTCTGCAAAAAGACACAAGTCTGGTGAACAGCGAAAATCTTTTCAAGTACAACAATGTTTATTGGGATTTAAAACCTAAAGTCCTCCCATTTTTTATGGTAACTCAAGATCACAAAAAAACCATTTTAGAATTTTGGGAGAGATCATACCTGTGTCTAAGACATATAGACTCAAACTCTTCCTAAAAGATTTGAAAAAGACGAGTCACAGTAACATTTTATTTCTTTGAAATGTCCTAAAATAAAATTTCAAGACCAATTCCTGCAAAGGAATCCTGGTGTTTTTTTCAACAGATATTTTATATTCAGAAGTGATGAACTTGAGACTAAATTTGGTAGTATGACAAAGCTGATTGAAATACATCTGAAGAGATAACTACTATAACTATATTGGATGGAATAAGGCTACTGATATAAGACGCTCATCCAAATCACCCACGAGAGATATTTTAACACGTTATAGCATCACAAGTTTTATCTCAACTAATAGAATGCATGACATGTCCGAAGCACTTTTAGCTAGTGCCATAGTTATACATATTAAAGGAGTTCATTGCACTGGAATGCAGAAGCCTGCACTTCTTTCAAGGCTTCACCTATGAAGATAAATAAATAAGAAAGCTCTTGAGAGAAAGAAGTGCAAAATGGCAAAGATGGCATAAAAAATGGAAAACATTTAAAACAGGAATTAATCAAAGTCATATACACGTGATGTGGCATAGGTGAGACCATCAAATCAAGAAATTATTTGGTCACACATTGGAGAAGGATAATGTGAATTAGGATCGATGGCTTTCAAAAACTACACTAAAAGTAACAGTGACTTGAACGAAGAGAAACTAACTTGTCCAGGTCCATCATCACCAAATTGTGGAACTAGTTGGACTTAAAACAAGGTTTGAATAATCTCTTGCTTACTCTATTGCTCTCAGCAATCATTTTCTGATCACTAGACTTGGATGATCGAATGGGAACAGTTGATAACTTCTTTAAATCTACTTCTCTTATCACAGAATTGATAACACATTGTCACAACTAAAAACAAAAACAGAACAGAACATAGAATGATGTGTTTAGGGATAAATGGACTCCCTCTATCACATTAAAAGAACTTCATTTTGAAGTCCTATCGTTTAAGGAACATGCATCCATTGCGTGTCTTCCAGTTAATTAACATTCATATACTACACCACCATCAAATGAAAAGACTAATTACACTTTATGACCTTATAAAATTTTAACAAAAGAATAGTATAGAGATAATATCAAAATGATTAATCAATATTGTGAAATGATTTTATTTTGAGGCATCCCAAATGGAAAGTGTAGAATAATGATGAGATAGAGGAAATAGTCTAACATTATTCGTCCAGATCAAATACAGCTAAAAATGTCGATAAATTAATTTTGATACACTTCAGATATATTAAATGTCACTATGTGTTCCACTAATTGGATTCATTCTGACTCGTTGTAAAGTAGGTTAGAAATTTTTTCTTCATGTCAATGGACCAGGAAAATAAATTAGTACCACCACAGCTTCAAACTCATGGAAGATACTAAGTTTCAGTTCTTAGCCTAAGCTGCATATCGAGTCAACTTCCAGGCCTGTTTCTCAATGTTACTCTCCTTATTCACTGTTGTTATCTTTCAACGGCACACAATGGTCAAAGTCTAGTGACTTGGTAATGGGATGGCTTAACTCATGGCACACTCGGTCGTTGAAACTAAGGTGAAGAATATCAGAACCACGTAGTAAATGAGGAATGCTGGATTTGTTGGTTAATACAAAAAAAAAGAAAAAAAAAATAAAAAGTTAGTAATAATAGATCAAGAAATAGCAGTATACCCATATATTAACAATACAAAAACCACTGAATTGTTCAATTTATAAATAGTGCAACAATATAATTTCGTGCAAAGAAAGGCTCAACACACAGTGCAAATTGCATACCTCTATATCTTCACGCAAAGAATTGATCACCTGAAAAGTAAAAATGCTTAGTGCTGTGATAGTTCAAATTCAAACAATAGGAGAAAGTTGTATTCGTGTCCGGATGTCTTTAGCTTTTTAAATTTCACTGAGGAGGAAATACCAAGTGCCAAGGATGGCATTTCCTAGTGTTAGGTTCCCATAAATGACTAGGGTCAAAGTACGGAAAAAATCATACAAGGAAGACTTATTCTCCTGTGGTGTCCTCGACAAACAAAAAACGACAAGGTTATAAAATTCTTTCATTTATAACGTTCTTCAACTGAATTATAAATAAATAAATAGAATTCTAAATGCAAACAAACAATAATAAATGCAAGTTACATTACTTTTTAATTTCCTTTATCATATCCATTTCCAAATGAAGCACAAGTTACATCCCAAAGGAAATACTTTTAAGCATCAGATGTCATAACTTGATTATAAGAACCGAAACAGCCTCTAATATCAGTATGACCGTTTCCACTTCGACATGTTTGGCTAAGCTTAAAATTTCATTTATAATTTAAAAAATAAAAAAAATAAAAAAAAAATATAAATTATCTGTGAGAGTATTTTTACCCTTAGCCAAACATGCTCTTTAAAAAGATTTTATATTTAAACAAACGGAAATTTAAAAATAAATAAAAATACAGCCCTAATCGGAAATAATTAAGCAAGCATTGATATATTAGTACCTGAATGAACAGCAGGTGGAGGCCCTGGTGCTTTGCTGCAGTAAAACTCGCAAAAGATCTGCAAAATTCCTGTTAGTTATCAAAGAAAAAAAATGAAAAAAATTGGAAACTGATTCAACTGAATTGAAAACACTGAATCTATTATAATTGAGGAGAAAAATTAACCTCTTTTGGACAGGCGGTTAATAAGGAATGCAAGGCACGTATGATTTCTACAATTCAATTGCCTAGATCCCGGAATTGATGCGTTCATTTCACTATCTTTTTGCATTTTTTTTTCTCGTTTTCTAGTGGGAAAATGAGAAAAGACGAGAAAGAGACAGAGAGAGGCGGGAAATCAATCGACTGTAGTTGGTTTTGGTCCCAATCAAAAAAAATATTACAAGTAAATTTAAAATTTTTCCTTATTTTTAACCCTACATTCTTTATTACTTTATTATTCCAAAATGAAGGGGCTCAAATAGGCTCTGAGTCCCTTTTTGCCTATCGTTATTTTATTTTATTTTTCAAACTCATTTTTAAATATATATTCTCACAATAAAATATTTTACAAGTAAACTCAAAATATTTTTCTACTTTTTAACCATACATTCTTTAAAAATTCATTATTTCAAAACTTATTTTCTCGCTTTAATAATGGACAAACTGAGGCTGATTATGAAGGATAGCTCGGCTCGTTTCACGAGATCGATTTTCAGTGAGAAGAGATGAGTGAAGTTCGACAACCCGCTTACTATCCATATTTTTTTATTTCATTACATAAAATTGTCTTGTTTTTAATCTCATCTTTAAGTTTTATATTTTTCTTTGTATTTTATTAAAAAATATATAAAGCTCGTAAATTGGGTCCACAGGCTGAGCGTGGTCCTTTGGCCAATGGGTGATGTCAAATGGCTCGGCTCGACCATTGTCATCCCTAAACAATTTGAAGAGTAAAACCTTGAATAATCAGTCTTTAATTTTCATTCGAAATTCCTTGGTGTAAATTATCGTGTCCATAAGCAAATAAACACGTACATCTATAGCAGAACAAGTCTATTAAAAATTTGCCTCAAAATCAAATTTAACAAGCTTAAGAAATTCTTGTAATCTGTCATTTAGAAAAAAGGGTACCAAGAACAAGGCAGAAAAATAAATAAATAAAAAATAAAAATAAAAAAGAAGCCTGAAAAGAATGTCAAGTTACATGCATGGAAATAAAGTTTCAAAATTGCAAATTGGCCTGCAATAGAATCCCTCAGCAGTGCAAAACATGCACAAAAAGTGCTATGCGGTTCAAAGAACCCATATCATCTTACACATTCATTGCATTTCTACATGCGCTAAATATTTCCTGCAAAAAGATACAGAGAAGTAACATAAGGTTTTACAGCCACCTAAGGGCGCGGCTTGCTGCACTCCCATCTCAGTCCTCCAAATTTCCCTTGGTGTGAATCATGACTAGACTCATCGGACCAAAATCATCGTCTCTCAGCCAGCTGCTTGAAAAATAATATTTAAATAGATCCCAAATCAAGCAGGATACGAAATATCCATTCAACAAAATTCTAGCCGAGCAAATCCTTGAATAAGATAGGATTCTGACCAGATGGGGTCACACCCACTTGCCTTACAAGTGCATCCTTCTCCAAATATTCTTGAATATTGTGTCCCTTGCTCGGTTGTTTTGTCAGATGTGCTATGGTCGCACTCGAAGACATGTCTGCATAGAGAGACATAAGATCAGGTGCATTAGGCACACCAACTCCACTGGAACTTAGATTGGATGCATCTTGTGTTAGATCGAGAAGACCTTCCAATTGCCTGAGAGGATCTACAGACGGTGCACTAGTAGTAACTGTTGGTTCACCCAAGTCTAGCAGGTCTGGAGGTGGTTGGGATGTTGGTTTTATAATATCAGATGAACTTTGACACGATCCGTCCCGAATCATCCTAGTGGACTCGAAACGTGACGTGCGCCGATGATAGATGTTAACTAGATGTCAAATCTATCACAAAGGCTGACTATGAGTTATTTCAAAAATGTAACAAAATCAAATGCTTATGTAAAATATAATGCGATGGACTCAAAATATTTACTTCGTGTTTCATCAATATGAGTTATAATATTCAACATATCGTTTGACTCTCATTTGAAAATCATTAGGCTCTTTCATCTAAAAATGGTCAATTTCCACCCGTAGGAAAAATCGTGGGAAAATATATGAGTTGAAAACTCAGTGAGTGGAGCAGTTCGAAAATAATTATACTTTTTCAATTTTACATTTCTATCGAAAATGAAGTTCATATCATTTAATAATTCACATGATAACATCATGTAATTATAACCAAAAGTGAAATATTCACATAAGATCGTAAAATATCATCTCAAAATCATAATACGAATATCAGCTGATAACCATGCTATAATCTCATCACATCAAAAGTGCTAGAAAATTCACCAAAAATGTACCCCCTGATCGAAATATATAATCCGCCCCTCGTCATCTCAAAATTATAATATGAATATCAGCTGATAACCATGCTATAATCTCATCACATCAAACGTGCTGGAAAATTCACCAAAAATGTAACCCCTGATTGAAATATATAATCCGCTTCTCGGGCTAAGAACTTTCGCCACGAACCTTTGGCCCCTCTGTGAACGAAAGTTGGTCTCAAAAACCTTTCATAATCAATTCTAGAACACGGCCAAAGCCTCTCTATGAACTATATGTAAACGATCAAGACCAATGTCAGGTTAAGACCCTCCGTGTAGGATAGAACACGACCAAAGTCCCTCTGTGAACTAGAAGAAGTATGTAATCATAGGTACTTTTCTGACTGATCTCAATATTGCATGTCTCACATACCAAACAAATCTCAATATCACATGTCTTACATAGCAAGTCACAAATATGCCATAAATAATCTTTGATATTCCACATGTATCATAATAAAATAGATTTCCATAATAATCATATAATTCGAACACATAATTGCACATACTTTGAAAATATACTTAATTTATAAATATTTTAAAAATATTTTTATTTTTCCACTCACAGTACTATGTTCGCAAAATCATTCCGGTTGGTAAGCTGTTCTGATGTTAGTATCGTCGCCTGAAATACGATATAATTTTTAAACAAACAATTAATTATTTTAAATAATTTCAATAATTAAATAGGCAATACCCAAACTTAATCATTTCACGTTTAAACGATTTCTATAGTCTCTTTAATCATTAAAACTAGTTTTTTTTTTCACTTTACTCAATTTTATAGTTTAGTATACTTAACATCTTCAATAAAATTGAATTTAATCTAACAATCTAATCACTATAAAATCAAACATAACTTGATAATAAATAACTTTTTACTTACCTTTCAAAATTGAGGAATTCAAACATAATAATGTAGACCACTTATTTTCTAATAACATAGGTGAACTTTCCTATTTTTTTCTTCCTCGTCCTTTTTTTTTTTCTTTTTTTCTTTTTCTTCTTCCTCTCTTTTTTCTCTCTTTTTCTCTTGCTTTCGGCTTCTTTTCCAGTGTGTAGTGTGTGTTTTTGTGTAACATTGTGTTTGATAAGTTTTGTGAATATATATCCTTTCCACCGCCTTGTAAAGTTTATTTTATTGGTTTTTTTTTTTTTTTAATATAGCATGATATGTTTGACATTTTTTTTTTTTGAAAGGCATTACAAACTTGCTGCCTTGGCTAAATTATCCTTGTCTGCACCATGATTGTTAGTCTTTAGAGCCTTCTGGCCAGAATGAGATTGTTTTCTGTCGGATTTTGATTCTACTCCTAAAAGAGAAGCGGCCAATTTCTGTTTTTCTGATGAAACCTCAGGTTGCTGCTTCCTTGAATCATAAGAGACATCGTGTACTTTCGACTTTGTACTGCTTGCTGAATCATGTCGAGTCATCCCGTCGTTACTTTTAAAAGTATCACTGCTTGAAGTAGAAGGGGTAGAGGAGAAAGAAGGACGACCCCATTTTTTTTGACACCATCAAGTCGTAACTTGAGTTCTGATGACCCTGAGCTGGAGACCGTTATGGCAGATTTAGCAGGTTGGTGAACTTCTGCAACATAATATGGTTCAGGTACAGGAACAAGTTCAGCTGAGGATGATACTGTTGATGGAAATTTTGGAGGTACTGAGGATTTAGGAAGCTCGTAGGCTTCAAACCTAAGAGCGTGTGTGGAAGATTCATGATCTTGGCTTCTGAGCGTTCATCCTCCAGAATATATGGCTGAGCTCCCTTTTCCAGCAATTCTTCGACATAAGCATCAAGAAACGAAAGGTTTTTGTCAATCTGCAAAGATTACAGATGTTACAAGTATTAATAAAATGAACTTACAGCATGAAAATTGTCAAGTAGCAACTAATATTATCTGAACAATCGCTAATACAAACTCATAATTTTGTATGAACAGAGATATACTACAAGCCATGACGAGAAACTAATATCATACTAATATCATCCTAATATAATCTAGATTATCTCAAAGACTCGTGATTCTTCAATGCATTTTTCAACGAAACAGTAAGACAGTAATTCTTGAATGCCATACTCGATGAAACAATAATTGAAAAGAATAATGCTAATTGTGCTGAAGAGGTGTCTGTTCGCGAAATATTTCTTTCGATTTAAATTACCGCAAGTGTACGGTTCGTTGACAAGTAATAAAATGGATCAATTGAGTCCGAATATCGTCCCACAGAGATTGGTTAATTCAATTTTACTTATTTTAGCCTTAACCGAAACTAATTGAATTGAAGTGAATTTTGGAATCAAAAACCCTAATTTTGGGAGAAATCCCCAAAGTGAAAAACCCTAAATTCAAACCAAACCCTAAATTGGGGGAAATCCCCAAATTGAAAAACCCTAATTTCAAATCAAACCCTAATTACTTAAATTCACTTAACTAATGACTCAATTACGAAATGTTATGAAAAATCGATAAAATATATTGTCAATTTATGAAAATCTATGTAAAACAAATGCACTAAGATCACGAATCCCCATATAATTACCAATTAAACCCTAATTTCACAATTTTGATAATTCAATAAGAATTTATAAATCAATGCTCCTAATTCTATTCAATACTCTTTCTCGAGATGTATTGAACCTATTCTCATAAATCATCAGCCTATATCTCTATGACGGATGCAATTTTACAAGAACGCATATAATATTTTTGTGAGCAATTAAAGATTTACATAGGGCATAGGGGTATATTTCTATCCCCTATCGGACCCTATGATGAATTATATATGTCGAGTCTAATCTAATTTTCTCAAATTCAGAATTAAATCACCAAGTTCACACAAATTAAG